TTTCAACGGACTTATTGAAGCCGGTGTTAAGGCAGCTAAGCACCATCTAATACGTATGGTAGGGAATACGCATTTAACTTTTGAGGAGTTAGCGACTTTATTTTCACAGATTGAGGCAATATTAAACTCCAGGCCCTTAACTCCCCTATCATCCGATCCGACAGACTTATACCCATTGTGTCCAGGGCACTTCCTGATCGGCAAGCCGCTCACTTCACTACCATCTCCCGTACTAATCGATACAAACCCAAGATATCTGGCTAGATATGAACTCATCGATCAGATACGTCAGCAATTTTGGGAGAGATGGCGCACTGAATTTCTAAATGAGCTGCAGCAGCGATCAAAGTGGCGCATTAGTCAAGGACAAATTTCCGAAGGCGATATGGTGGTACTCAAGGAGCCCAATTTACCACCACTCAAATGGCGCATGGGACGCATCCATCGGCTGTATCCAGGGACTGATGGCGTTGCACGCGTAGCAGATGTCAACACTTCAAAGGGTGTCATCCGGCGTGCAGTTACAAACCTCTGTCCATTGCCCAACGAGCAATGACCAAGAAGATACCTCGAAATCCCACAGTCTTCGAGGGGGGGGAAGATGTTTACGCGCACCCTTGCTGGACCAAAAAGGAGGTGCGACGCGCGGGCGCGGGAGGACGGCGGAGACGGACTGGCTGGCAAAAACTACCGCCGTGCATTATTATACTTAACGCGGCTATATCTACATCATTATTGTAACGAGGATTAATACAGTTTTGTCATATATATATATTTGTTGGAAGAAATTATAAGTATTCGTCATAAAGAAGAGTTTTATTGAAGAGCACCGAATTACCGAACAATAGGATTATCCGAAGTCCGAAGAGAGGGGGAGGACACAGTAATCCTCGAATCCGGCAACTTGCTCTATCACCGGGAGGGCGACCATCTGTCCCAAGGAGGTGTCGGATTTATCGTCCACAAGTCTCTCGTTAACAACGTTGTAAAGATCGGGAGTAAGTCGACGAGGGTTGCGTACCTTATACTCAGAATCACAAAACGCTATTCGCTGAAGGTCATACAGGTTTACGCACCAACCTCGGCACACCCCGATGAGGAGGTGGAGGAAACGTATGAGGATATCTCTAGAGCCATGCATTCCTCCAAAACCCAATATACGGTGTTAATGGGAGACTTTAATGCAAAACTAGGCACAAGAGAGAACGGTGAGCTGAAAGTAGGGAAATTTGGAATAGGGCAACGGAACCCAAGGGGCCAGCAGCTGGCTGACTTCATGGAGAAAGAGGGACTCTTTATGATGAACTCTTTCTTCCAGAAGCGGCCCCACAGGAAGTGGACCTGGTCGAGCCCCGACGGTTCGATAAAAAATGAGATTGACTTCATTATGACGACCAGACGACAACTGTTCAGTGATGTCTCCGTGATCGCGAGGGTGAAAACTGGTAGCAATCACCGAATGGTTAGAGGCACACTGAACCTAAACGTTAAGTTGGAGAGGTCTCGTCTAATGAAGTCATCGCTCCGTCCCCCTCGTGCTCTAATCCAAAGTCCCGAAACCTTTCAACTCGAGTTACAAAACCGTTTTCAGTGCCTAGAAGACTGCAATGAAGTGGACGATATGAATGACAAGCTCGTGGAAACTGTCCATGCGGTCGGAGCTAAGTTCTGCAAGACCCGCCGCAGAAGAACACAAAAACTCTCCGATCACACTCTTAATCTCATGGCTGTTAGACGGGAGATGAAGCTACATTCTTCAACAGACTTGACAGCATACAGGCATCTGAACAGACAGATCTCCAAATGCATGCGGCGGGACTTACGCAACTTCAATACAGCTCGTATTGAAGAAGCGATCGAGCGGAACCAAGGTTCCAAAGTCTTTGCCAGAGATCTGTCTGCCAGAAAGAGCCAAATGTCAAAGCTGAAGACAGAATGTGGCAGCATCGTTTCTGGGACACCTGAGATTTTGAGTGAGATTGAGAGGTTCTATGGGCAGTTGTACACGTCATCGTTGGAGCCACACGCAAGTGTGAGTAACGATCCAAGAGCGAGTCTCATCCGACACTATTCCAAAGATATCCCGGACGTCAGTCTGAGCGAGATTAGAATGGCTCTCCAGCACCTTAAGCGGGTGGAAAACCGGTACTTGAAGTCCTTCAGAGGCTCTTTAATTCCGTCCTCCATGGTGGCATTACACCGGAGGCGTGGAGCAGAAGTGCGGTGGTCTTGTTCTTCAAGAAAGGTGACAACGCTCTCTTGAAGAACTACAGACCGATTTCCTTTCGGAGCCGCGTCTACGTGCTGTTTTCCAGAGTCATTACGAATCGTCTTGCGCGCAAACTTGACGACTTCCAGCCTCCCGAACAAGCCGGTTTCCGAAAAGGCTTTAGCACCATAGACCACATACATACCCTTCGGCAAATTGTACAGAAGTCCGAAGAGTACAATTTGCCACTATGTCTGGCGTATGTGGACTATGAGAAAGCCTTTGATTCCGTCGAAATTTGGGCGGTGCTGCAGTCCCTTCAGCGGTGCCAAGTTGACTGTCGGTATATCGAAGTGTTTAAGTGCTTGTACAGTAGGGCTACGATGACTATCCGAGTACAGAACCAGAGTACGAAACCTATCCAATTGCAGAGAGGTGTAAGACAGGGTGACGTCATATCCCCGAAACTCTTCAACGCTGCATTGGAAGACGTTTTCAAGCTTCTGGACTGGAAAGGATACGGTATCAACATCAATGGCGAGTACATCACTCACCTTCGATTTGCCGACGATATAGTCCTTATGGCAGAATCGCTGGAGGACCTAAGCACTATGCTCAATGACCTCAATAGTGTTTCCCAACGGATAGGTCTTAAGATGAACATGGACAAAACTAAGATCATGTTTAATGTCCATGTCAAACCTATGCCGGTAGTTGTTGGGAACAATAAGCTCGAAGTTGTTGACGAGTATGTTTACCTGGGACAAATAGTCCGACTAGGTAAGTCCAACTTTGACCGAGAGGTCAATCGACGGATTCAACTCGGTTGGGCAGCGTTCGGGAAATTACGGCACATCTTCTCGTCAGGTATACCTCAAATCTTGAAAACGAGACTGTACACCCAGTGCGTGTTGCCAGTGATGACATTCGGAACTGAGACGTGGTCCTTCACTGCTGGCTGGATGAGGAAGCTCAAGGTCGCTCAGCGAGCTATGGAGAGGGCTATGCTCGGAGTTTCTCTGCGTGATAAACTTAGGAATGAGGATATCCGCAGTAGAACCAGAGTAACCGACATAGCCCAACGGATTAGTAAACTGAAGTGGCAATGGGCCGGCCATATAGCTCGAAGAACCGACAACCGATGGGGAAGAAAGGTTCTCGAGTGGCAGCCTCGTACAGGTAGGCGAAGTGTAGGGCGTCCCCCCACGAGATGGAGTGACGACCTGGTAAGACATGCAGGATGTCGATGGATGCAGGTGGCTCAGGACCGTGCTTTTTGGCATTCTTTGGGGGAGGCCTATGTTCAGCAGTGGACTTGTGAAGGGCTGTAATGATGATGATGATGATGAATTAAAACTATGTTTCAACCTTTATACAAAGGAATTAATTAGTCTTATTTTAGAATATTCATGAATTATCTTTTAATTATATTTTATTACCTATTTCATATTAATAATTTTGCGGGGTATCTAAAGATGCAGCACACCGTAAAAAGTAGGTGGAAATAATACAATTGCTGAGAAAGGAGACTCACTGGGTGCCTTCTAAATCTACTCTCATTAGTTCTAAGCACTTCCGGGATCAAGACAAAGATGCCGATGCTTTCACAATTGATGCATATTTCAAACTCAGATATTCTTAGTTAAAAAATCCAAAATAGATTTTTTTACTTCATTTATTTTTTTGTTTGATTTATTAGTACAATAAAAGATACTTCGAAAAAAATATCTTTCACTTCATTAGTTATGCTTCTATTCATCGGATAAGCAAAGATACATATTTAAAATAAAAACAAATAACTGCAGCTTAAAAAAACTCCTTTATATTGCTTATTTTGGGTAAAATTTTATATAGTAGGCAATACCGACCCATCACTGCATGTTTGTGTGCCTATCTTTATCTAATCTTAGCGACGCTATTGTTTTCGCGACTTGTGTAAGTGAGACAGATATATGTTTACTTAAAAAGGTTTAGTGGTTTCAAAGCTACGTCCTCGCGGTTAGATTATGGTTTCACTTTTTTCGACGTGCGGTAATGTGGTTTGCTCCTCTAGTCTTGTATAACTCAATGGTTGCGAGCAATCGCCGCGCTCCAAATGAACGCGGCAGTATGACAGCCGTGAGACGCCCGCCGTGAGTAGAGCTCTTCTATGTCACGAATGACCTTTCGCGGTACAGATGAGCTCCAGTCAACAAAAAGAAAAACAAGAAGAAAAAATATCTCTTGCAGTACTAGTTAATTAATTAATTAATAATACAGTGCTGCTTTGTAAATAGTACAAAATTATAGTTGTAGTACGAATGGGTACGATCGGGGAAGGACTACGCTCTCACAGAATACCAGCGTAAATTGGCAGCTTAACACTGTTGTGTTTCGTATGGTGAGTGTAGAGAACCAGAGATAATTTTTACTTTAAAAGGGGCATTCCATATTAGTCCTCACGGGTGACAACGCATCTGCATTTTGATTCTTTATTGAGGATAGGCGTAGATGTCTATGACTCACAGCAACCACTTACCATCAGGTGGACTGTGTGCTCGAATGTCACCCTATCTGATAAACAAATTGTTTATAGTTGCGTCCCTCGTTTATTCTTTCAATTCTTCAATAGAACCGTTAATAAAGTAAAATCAGGTCTTCACATATTTAAATACACTGTGTATAAATTAATACAGTCCACTTGCTCTGAGTACGCTTTCGCGGACGCTACTAAGAGCTAAAATAATTTTAAACGTTATTTTGTTACAACAGTATGGTCTATTATCGTTTTTCATTTAAAACCAAAAAACCATTAGTTATTATCATAATTGTAGTGGAAAAGACTCTCGGGTTTCTTCTCACAGATGAACGGTGCAGTATGATAACACCAAATATCATCCAATAACGCATCCCTGAACATGCCCCCGCAATATTCTCCGTCGGTTGCATTATCTGGCTGCCCTTTAGCCCACGATTCATATCCCGCTTCTCTGAGACTTTGACCTAAAATGTATCAATAAAAAAAAACACTATTAGCCGAAGTTAAATCATTCTAAAGTCTCCTACCGCATTAAGTCCTGTTAGTTTTTTATTTAGTCGTTCGTTTTTAGCCTTTATTCCCTTATACAAAAGAATACAAATGACTTAATGTTTTTAGGCATTCTCTACTAGTCAGCCCAAAGAGTTAACAAAATATAACGCAAGTATAGCCTATAGAAAATAAGAAATATACAAACATTCTGTTTGATTCACTGACCTCTATATATACAAGTTACACATAATAATTTGTGAGGTTGTAAGAATATCCAATATTCTATATCTTTCCGTGGAATTCATAATAGGTGAGAAAGGCAAAATGAAACATGGGATAGGCAGCAGCATCTTCCTGATAGTAACTCAAAATTATAAAACTATGACGTTTATCATGAGGGCAGTTAAAGTAAACAAATTTCTCAAGGACAAACATCCAGACTCAGAACAATGTTAGCCACTGCGTCACGGATCCGTCAGAAGAGTTGATTAAGCAAAATGTCAAGAAAATATTGAGTATCACGTGATGGTAAGTGACTACCGCCACCCATGAACAACTGCAACACCAGGGGAATTGCAGAAGCGTTGCCAGCTTTTTAAAAAGGAGTAGGCTCTTTTCTTGAAGATCTCTAAGTCGTATCGGTCCGGAAAAATCGCTGGTAGTAATCGATTCCACAAGGAAGTTGTGCAAGGAAGAAAACTTCTTCTAAATCGCACAGTGGTGGACCGCCAATCATCCAGATAGTATGGTTGTTATCGCGAGTTTTGTCGCGATGTGCGATGGTGAAATTGAGCGGCTGGAGTATATTTAATTAATATATTGGATATAATGTAAATCCAGTTTATATCCGCTTGTCTTCAGATCAGCCATTTTGCGTGATATGATACGTCTGACGGAGCCTTTGCCACCAGACCAGCCGTCTACGTGATATTGGCGCGTGCCAATATAAACAATGATGCATTACAAACAAAAATCCGACATATCAACTTATTAATGATTTTGCGCATTGGTTTTAAAATAACAAACATGAATTTATGTAAGTCCAGGCTTTTTTATCCTTTATCATCAAGTCGTCTGAACGTCTAATGAAAAAACAAAATTTCATTAATCATCTTCTTTATAAGAGAAGTGTAATGAGTGTCACCAATTATTAAGAAGAGTCACAATTAAGAATATAAAAGTCTTTCTTGAAAAATAAATCAACAAATCCACCAAAATTAGGACCTATTAAGACGTCGTATTTCATAGATGTATAACCTACCTAATTTTCTTGTCAACACGTTGCATGCAAATATTTTTTTTTCAATATCCGAAATTCGTTCTTATCCTACCAGCCTTTTGAAGTCATTGCTGGATATAGATATTTTCAATAACGAGCCACTTAAAGAAATTCCTCTAGTATTAGACCGAGTTCAAAACGATTAGTAAGCTGATTCGTGAGCAAAATGCTAGCAGCCACTCACAAGTGTTGATCCCCAGTTTTAAGTATTCAAATTTCTTCTTCTTAATAAGTCCGTAACAAACGCAGAACGAAGATCTGGTCTAAGCAAGATAGTATACCGTCATATATGGGAAGCCATAAGATATTACTTAAAATTCCCATAGTCGTCTCTTAAAGCATTCACGGGACGAAATGTATTAATGGATTCTCTTACGTAGCGATCATACAGCCATATTTAAGTTTAGTTTATTATAACTGTAAATATTCATCGAATATTCAATTCTTACCATGAATTGTACTCCACACCCCACGTTCACCCCAGTCGTAGAATCCAACATGAGCAAGGTTCTTGTGTCTCGCACTAATTTCATGTTCGGGATACTTAGCAAACAACTCCTTTAGAATTTGAGCTTCGACATAACTGTTTATGATGGCCAAATGACCACCTTCCGATGCACAGACCATGAAAGCACGAGACCAAGATCGGCCAACGTAGTGGAATTTGTAACAGCTACCGGTTTTAGAATTATGAGCGTACTCTGTGGAAATTATAATATATAAATAGAATATTTTGATTTCAACTTAATAAGTTACAAAAATTATAACATGACTGAAACAAAACGTATCCCGTTAGATTTGAATAAAAATCTCAATATATCTGTACGAAAATGCTTGTGTAGTCAATAATTTTAGTTCAAGGGCTGGTAAACTAACTTTTTAACTATTTTAGGCCAGTTATTGACTAATTTTCCACTTGATGGTAAGTATTAATGTAGCTGAAGATGGTAAGGCGCATAGACTTACTTGACAAAAGCCAGTTCACTCTTGCCTTAAAGAAACCCACAATAAAATCGGATGGAAATGCAGACGCTGGCAATATTTGAACTATCTTTAAGGCAAATGTACTAATAACATGTGGATAAATCATTAATTATTGAATAGCTATTATTAAAGAGTTGGATAAAAAGATCGCTGCAAGTATCACAATACGCGAGCAAACTAGATTCGATCCTCGCTAACAGCAATCATCATCATCATCTTTATAACCTGCCACAAGTCAACTACTAAACTACATGCTCCTCTTGAATTCCACTCTCGCTAGGGGCCTTGCCGTTTTTAATTTGCTGGAGAGCCATTTTGATCGCTCACATTGACTTCCGTGATATTATCGAAATATTGTCTCAAAGTCTCAGGTGTCCCGAAATTAAAGCCACCACAGTCGGTCTTCAGTTCGATAGTTGGCTCTTTCTGGCAGACTTTTCAACCTTGGTTTTTTTATAGGATAAGGGTGACAACCTAGCACTCCGTCCACCTGATGGTAAGTGGTTGCTGTGGCCCATAGACATCTACATTTATCCTCGTTTGCGAATAAAATGCAGATACAATGTCAACCGTAAGGACTAAGATGGAATGCCTCTTTTTCAGTAAAAAGGGTCTCACGTTCTCTACACTCACCAAACGAAACACAGCAGCGTTAAGCTGCTATTTTACGCTGGTATTCTGTGCAAGCGTGACCCTTCCCCGGTCGAGCCGACCGATTTGCGCTACAACTATACTCTCGATATAGCTGTAGCATGGTTCTACCACGTTTCATATGGTTCCGCTCAATATGTTTTAATACGAGCAATGTGAAATTTGCCTAAGTCTTGCCGCGTGCATTTAGCGATCTGTCTGTTCAGTTGCATGTTGCCATGTGATGAAGACTGCAAATTCATTTCTTGTCTAACAACCATCAGATTAAGTATGTGATCGAAGAATTTTTGATTTCTACTGCGAAGGAACTTGCAGAACTCAGCTCAGATCGCATGAACATGAGCTTGTTATTTATTTTGTGTATTAAAATCTTATAGTTTTTAGATAAGTTCAAAGACAAAGGGGAAGGAGCGTTGACTACATTAGTCGTGACCTGTCCAGCTTAAGTTTAATTCGTATAGTGGCGGCATAAGATAATCCACTAACCCATGTCATCCCATGAGTAAGAGACGACAGGGGGAAATGAAAAGGAGATAGTCAGCAGCAAGCAGCTATCTCTAAAGCTATTTAAAATAATAAAAAAAACTGTTTGCAATCACACCAGCCAAGCTTAGCAAATATGGCAAATATGTCCCCTATGAGGCAAATTATATTGAAGTCCTGTGTGCCGCAGTTGACTTTGAGAGGCTATAATGAATGAATAAATTTGACTTTACTTTGTATATGTAATTTAACCCATATCTTCCCAACACTATAAACTCTTATCCGATTTTTTTAATTTTTACATATGATTATACTATAAGGCAAAGTAACATATTTAAACAATTAAAAAAAATATCGGTCATTGACCTTCTGAATTACAATACCGATCCATTAATGGAACACTGGGAACATGTGCTAATGTATTTTCTTTGTAGATAGAAAGTAAAGAAGACCAAATAAAAGCTTGATAAGAAGTAGTTTAGATAAATTTATTAAAAAAATATTTTAAATGTTTTAATATTACGGGATCGTATGAAATACTTCCGAGCATTTAGCATGCAAAGCAACCGCACATTTGCCACATTTTTTCGTAGTATTTTTATGACATAATCCACATCGGCTCTGCTTGCCGTTATCCACCATGTAGTGGTCCTTTCGATCTAATCGAATGCTTGAAGGGACCCGTTTTATGACAGCTAATGAAGATTTGGGTACATACTTCGCTTTTGTTATCGTGCCATTGGATGATGCGCTGCTATTTGTCACAGATTTTGTCATAAAGTACGACTGCACCACATACCTGGTGAAGGACAATAGGTCATGGGAATCTTTTTCCTTAGCACTTGGCGACATCCTGTATAGCTGGTAAGCATTATTTATACTTACGTTGAGAGGAAACATGAGTAGTTGCCAGTACCATCTCTTCAACCTTATGCCAATTCTATAACAGCCAACATTTTGATCTAATCGATCGACACCTCCCATATACTTGTTATAATTTATGAAACAGCGTGGCTGGTCCACTTCTTTCTTCTGTTTATCGCACCATCTTTTTACTTTGCCTACTGGTCCCACTCCACATTCAGTTGACGCAATTGTTACGATATTGTTATCGTTGTATCTTACTAATGTAATATCTGATGACACATCTGTGGTTTGATTGTATGAACCTCTTTTCATTTTTTTCATGTCTTTTGAATCTTTTAGCGGAACATTTTCTACTCTATTTCCCCGGATGGTTCCAGTGGCGTCGTGTCCTAATGATTTTATTTCCGCCAACAAAGGTATTGAGGTAAAAAAATTGTCCATATAGAAGCTGTAATTACCAGCTGGAAGTTTTGATATCAGATCAAGAACTACAGATCCGCCGACTCCAAAGGATGGATGTGTGTTTCCGGTGCTGGCTCCTTGATATGGTTCTCCATAAATTAGGTAACCCAATCGAGTACAAATAGCCCATACTTTGTAGCCGAATCTTATAGGCTTACCATGAATATGTTGTTTAGTGGGATGTTTTCCAAAATATGGGACCATCGACTCGTCTATACTCAAATTTCTGTCGCCTGGAAAATATTTGAGCCATCTTCGATTGAGAAGATCCCACAAAGGACGCACCTTACAAAATTTGTCTCCTGGCTGTAGGTTAGTGTTGTTGCATGCGTGATAAAATCGCAGTAGTTCTTCAAACCTATTCCTTGACATACAAGCTGCTACACCAGGGTGATGACAGTCAATGCGTTGCTCCCAATACATTCTGTATCGAGCAACACCATTGTAGCCAGACAATAATAGGATACCTATGAATCGCTTGATTTCGTCAGAACTAACTTTGAAATTGACGTGTCCTTTCTGCCTTGCATTTTGTTCTGTTTGTGACCGTAGTAGTTCGATTACATCTTCATCATAAAACAACTCAAAAAAATCTTGTGGATTATGAAAATCTTGCAAGAAACTTAGAGGTGTCCATTCTTTTTCTGCTTTTTGTGGGATATCCACATTTCGCCATTTCCTCGAAACCGTACGCTTACTTTGTTTTTCAGCAGGTGGGTTTTTTGAAGTACTTGAAGTGGGCTGTTCCTCTTGGGATTCTTGCTGATGTATTTCCTCTATCCGTCCCTCTACAGATACCTTGGCTCTAAGTTCTGCTGCTGCTAATAACTGATGCCGGGACAAGCAATTGATATCAGTAGATTCTTCATTACCACTGTCTTCGTCGCTCTTATCAAAATTTTCGGGGGGAGTTATATACACGTCAGCTTCCAGCACATCATTATCATCTTCTAAATATGAAATTATATCATTTACTGTTAACCTAAAACAAAAAGCATGCAATATTTATATATTATTACATAAATACTAAGCCTAAAGTATTCATACATTTTCTCAATGTTAACAGAGTAATATGTTCCCATTGTTTGCAAAATGGAACAGTATCAAAAAACATATAATGTACACTAAATACTCAACACATTTATTCATTTTACTATTAGATATTATAGATAACAGTAAAATCAATAATTATTTGCAAGAAAATACGTAATTTTACAATAAACATAAATAAATTTTACTTACCAACTGCGTGACGCCATTTTGTGAAAATTACTAACAATAAAACAATAATTGACAATCAAAATCCGCGCGAAATGCACTTTTTGGTACGCGCTTTCGACAGACAATTAATTCAGTGTTACCCGTATGCAAAAAAAATACTGATTTGCAATTTTTATATTTAAAAAAAATATATCAATGTTACCGTTCCAAAAATGGATCACTGGGAAGATATGGGTTAAAAAGAATATATAGGATACATTTTATTATTTGGGTAAATGACTTTGTTCGCCCTTTGTTATTTTTACATCGCTAACATCGACATTTTATTTTTTATTTTTCAATCTAACATGAGAATTTAGAATAACAATTTGTTTTGCTTACCAATATCAGTAGTGCCACAGCCGGATATAATTGTCGGTTTTGTTCTTTTTTTATAGCATATAAAGGGGAAAACCTCCGAACATTTGATGTCGGCCACTGTTCCATGAGATTGAAGGAGCAGGCATTCCTCGCTGTTTTCGCAATTGTCTGGTTCCCCCGGTGCCCATCTTTTTGGCATTCTCGCGAGCGGTACTCCTAAAATAAAAATTATATTATCATCTAAATAAATAAATTGCAGAAAAATGTCTTACCCTTTGATTTAAAATATTTTTTTTAATTTAATATTTAGGGTATTCAAATACATTAACATTAGAATAACCTAAATTTAAAATAAAAAAAACATGCGCGAGTGTCGTGAGACTCTCGATTGGAACGAAGTTCATTCCTTAGTATATTATTATTGACTAGCTTTTTACCCGCGGCTTCGCTCGCGTTTGCTTTGCTATCATTAATTCTTCAATTAAATATAAATTAAAATTTCTATATAGTTTTATTCACGATGAACGTGTGACAGGGACTTTATTCATGAACGGGGTTAGAAATATAGAGAAGATGGGCAGCAGCGTCTTCCTGATATA